CCCCCCCCCCCCCCTGCGCGCCTCTTCGGTGGGGCAAGGCGAAATTTTCAGGCGCCGACTGCCGGGTCATTTAACGCATGTTCAACCACCGACCGGGTGATATTGTGGTCTTGCGAGGAACCATTGGACATCCGGTTAAGTTGGCGCGTGGATGAATTCTTGGATCACCTGAGTCGGGCGAGTTTCGAATTTCTCGCAAGTGTCCCCTTTTGCCCCCCCCCCCCCCCGGGCGGCCAGGCCGCAGAGTGTGTCCAGTTGCTGTTCCGGCAGTCTGGCTGGCAGGCCGCCAGCAAGTGGTTCAAATTGAGACCCGATCCGTGGAGGGGCCAACGCGAGGCCGGGGATGGACAACTGTTCACAATTGCCAATAAAGGACCGGAAGAGGGGGGGGGGGGGGGGGCATTTTCTGCCCGGCGCCGAGGCCGAAAAGCGGCCACTCTCGGAACTTCTGACACCCCGGGACAGGGACGGTAACCAGTTGCCACGAAATCTCCCCCTCCTCTCCTGCCCTGCCTCCTTCTCGCGCTCTCTTTCCCTCCCGCTGCGACCATGCCCTCGTCCAGCCTGGTCTCACTTTACCGGGCGTCCTTGCTCGACCGCCGATTCGTCGTCCTGGACGTCTACATTGTCCTTGGTTTTCTGCTGGTTGTCGGACAACTGGCATACGGCGCCATCTGGGGAACCTTCCCCTTTAACGCTCTGCTGGCCGGGATCTTTGGTTGCGCCGGGTGCTCAGTGCTTGGTGGTGCGTGTGGGATTTCCAATATCCCCCCCCCCCCTTTTCCTTCCGTTCTCTTCTTTCCTTTCTTTCTCCACCCGGCTCCTCCCATCCGCCGGTGGCTGACGCAATCTCCCGCCCGTCTTGGCTCTGTCCAGCCATTCTCCGGTCACAGCTCTCCCGTGCCAATCGTCTCAAGTCCGGGCAGCTCCTGCCGGAGGACAAGTCCATCGATCTCCGGGTTAGCCAGCCGCTCACCCCGCAGCGTGCTATGCTAGATTTCATTGTCTCCTCGCTGGTGCTTTTCTTTTTGGTCATGGCTCTGCTGGGTTGAGCCATCGGGAGGGTTTTTTTTCTGCATAGCCACATATACATATATATATATATAAACACATGCATATGCACGTGTGTTCATGTCCTGCTTCCCTGCGGTTTCCCTCCTTGGATTCGGACGAGCAACAGCCGGTACTCCGGGGGAGCTGCTTTCTCATCTATGCGCACATGCCGAGGGAAAGGGTGAGACACCGAGAGAGGGGGGCAGAGGAAGGGACGAAGCCACAAGCAAAATACATGCAGTCGGGCTGCCCGTCCCCATCCTCCCATAGCCCGGGCGGCGAAGTGACACTGCTGGCACTGAGGACGGATGTCGCCGCGAGGGGGATGCCGGCGCCTGGACCATCACCTGCCCCGAGAGGGCTCCGGCGGACCTCTGGCATGCTTTTCACGACCAGCCGGGCCAAAGCCGAGGCCCGAAGGGCAGGGGGAGGGGGGGAGAGAGAGAGAGAGAGCAAAGACGAGTAGACGGGGCAATCGATGGTGTGTTCGCGCTCACACGGCAAACGCCGGGCGGCGGCCCATCCCCGGGGGACGGGACGATGATCGCCATCCAACTGCCAACGATCCGCGGCAGGCGTCCCAAACAACACTCCGAGAGACTGGCAAGCGGGGAGGCCAAAGAAGGCGGGGGTGGGGGCCGAGATGGCGTGCTCCTTCTCTTCGCCCCTGGTCTTCCTCCCTCGAGTCCAGGCAGGACCCAATTTCGGGGCCCAGGACAAGGGGGGTAGGCAACGAAAACCAGCAGGCACCCCCCTCCTTCCCCTCCCTCTGCTCTGTCCCGCTCTCTCTTTCTTTCTCTCTCTCTCTCTCTTCCCCCTTCTCCCTCGTCTCCCTCCATCCCCTACTCTACCTTTCTCTCCTGCATCCCCTCCCCCCCTGCCTTGCGCGCCTCTCACACAATGAGCAGCTTTGACTTGAAGCCTGGGGATCGCCTCAACCAGTACCGTGTGGTCAAGGCCCTCGGTGCTGGCGCACATGCCACCGTGTACCTGGTGCGCGCGGTGACCCCGGCCACCGAGGAGCCCGACCTCTCTGGTCTGGTGGATTCCGATGCCTTGGCGACGTCGACGCCGGCCTCGCCGGAGTTTCCCTGCAGCCAATGCGCGGAGTCCAGCGATTCGGATTTCGGGTCCAGCAGCGACGAGGAGGGCCCCTCGTCACCTGGATCACCAACGAGCCCGGCACGCCGTTGCCCTCACTCGCCCGACGACCCCGAGGCGTTCTCGCGCGCGCAGCTGGTCGCCCGTGCGGATAGCTTGGCCCCGGAGAGCGAGCTTTTTGTACGTCCTTCCTTGGCCTCTGTCTCGATCCTTGTGGCCAGGGCCCATCCGATGGGGGGACCCTTGCTGCTGTTCTCCTGTGCTCTGGTCTGCTAACTAAAGATCCTCCTCCGCCGCTCTGGCGACTGCGTCATGCGTCTCTCAGGCCATGAAAGTCATTTCGAAGTCTCGCATGAAGAAGCGTGTTGCTGCTTCGGTTTCGGCCACCGGTGGTCCAGGCATCGGCCTTCGGTCTGGCCCGGGTGGTCGGCCCCTCCTCCGGGTACGTGTACTTTTCCTCCATCACTATTTAGAACATGCCTCCTGGCCCACCTCCCCCTATCGAGCATTGAGCCTCGCTCTTTCTCTCTCTCTCTCTCTCTCGCCCTCTCTCTCTCTCTCTCTCGCTCCCCCTCTCGCTCCCTCTCTCTGTCGCACACGCATACTTACAAACATACACACACTCGCTTCGACACCCGCGTAGCGTCCGCCTCCACGGCCCACCGCCACCGCGCCCAATGCCCCAGCGCCCCCCCTGTCGCCCTTCGGCACGCCGATGTCCCTTTCGCCGCAAGACACCGACGGATTGGACATGGTCCGCCGGGAGATCGCCATTATGAAGAAGATCCATCATCCGAACGCCGTGCGGATTGTGGAGGTTCTGGAGCCGGACAATTCCGATCGCCTTTGTGTCGGTACGCTTGCTTGTCTTTTCCTTGCCCCTTTTCCCCTCCTCCTCCTCCTCCTCCTCCTCCTCTTCCCTGCACTCCCCCCTCCTCACACATTCATGACCGCCCTCGCCCCTATCACCATCAGTCATGGAGTATGCTTCCAATGGTCCGGTCATGCGCAAGGTCTCCTCGGTGGCGATTGACCCGGCGGTGATCTCCGCCGTCCCCTGTGAGGCAGTCGCCCCGGACCATGTGGAGATTGTTGACGAGCCGCGCGGTGAGCTGGCGCTCGACCCGGAGGTCGCACGCCAGTCGGCCCGTGCCTTGCTCCTCGGCGTGGAGTATCGTGCGTTTTGTGTGTCTTGCGAACTTGCCCCGTCCCTTTCGACGTGCTGATGCCATTTGTCCTGCCATTTCCCTGCCTCGCCCCCTGCCGGACGCATGCATACCTACAGTCCATTACAATGACATTGCCCATCGCGATCTCAAGCCGGAGAACCTGCTGGTCATGGCCGATGGGACGCTGAAGATCGCGGATTTCGGTGTCTCTGAGGTATGTACACCCTTGCTCTTTGTTTTGGCCCGGTCTCTCTCGCTTTTGCTCCTCCCCCTTCGGCCAAGGCACACTTCCATGGCGCTGACCTTCGACCGCATCTCCTGGCCACTTTCCGACAAAAAAAACCAACATAGGAGTTCGATTCGGGCCAGGGGGACCAGGTTCGCCGGTCAGCTGGCTCGCCTGCCTTCATGGCACCGGAGCTTTGTGGTGCCAAGGGTACGAACTGCTCCTCCCCCTCCCCCTCCCCCTCCCCTCTGGTGGCTCCTCCTCGCATCCCCTGCTTGCCTCTGCTGGTTCTCTGACTCATGCACACTTGTGAAGCCGCCGATGAGACCTTCTCCGCCAAGTCCGCCGACATTTGGTCCATGGGTGCTTGTGTGTTTAGCTTCCTCACCGGGCGAGTGCCCTTCCCTGCGTCCAACATCGTGGCAACCTTCACCGCCATTCGGGAGAACCCGTACGCATGGGCCAACTTCATCACTCTTTCCGCCCGCCTCTTGGCCATCTGCCATCCTCCTCCTGTCTGTGTTACTGACGCTTCTGGTTTTGTGTTCTCCCCTCAAGCCTGTGCATCCCCAGCTACCTCGATGAGGACTGCGTGGATTTCCTTCGACGCCTTCTCAACAAGAACCCCGCTCATCGTGCTTCTCTCACCGAGGCCCGGGTACGCCTGTGGGACTCTGTCGCTCTCGGTCTCCCTTGACCTTCCCCTCCCCCCCCCCCCCCCCCCAACCCCTTCCCCTCCCCCCCCCCCCCCCCCTTCCGCTCCCTTTTTTTTCCCCCTTTCTCCCCCCCCCCCCCCCCCCCCCCGCCACCCATCTC